CTTCAGAGAAGTTTCTCTTTAAGTCTTTAGCCCACTTATTTATTGGGCAGTTGTTTCTTTGAGGATTTGTTGTTGGGGGATTTAATTTTTTGAGTTCCAAATACATTTTAGATATGAGACCCTTGTCCATTGTATGGCTAGTGAAGATGAGAAGTCATTTTTTATTGTTTGTGGAAATCATGGAGTATTTTTCACACTGTTAAAATAGTGTTCAAAAGCTATATCTGGATTTTTGTAGCAACAAAATATTCTAGTCAAACACAATTATTGTTTATGGCACAACATCATATGTTTTATATTTATTTTTGTGGGGGATCCAGTCCTGGGGCTTGAACTCAGGGCCTGGGCACTGTCCCTGAGCTTCTTTTGCTCAAGGCTAGCACTCTACCACTTCAGTCACAGCACCACTTCCATCTTTTTCTGTTTATGTGGTACTGAGGAATTGAACCCAGGACTTCATGCATGCAAAGCAAGCACTCTACTGTTAAGCCACATTCCAAGCCCTGTTCATTTTTATTAGCATACATTAGTTATTAGTAGGGGGTTCTCATGTCCATGTATGCATATAATTTATTTCCATCAATCTCTACACTGTTCTATTTCCCCTTGTCCCCTTTCCCCTTTCCAAAACAATTTCAACAGGTTTCATTGTTCTGTTTTTATACATGCAAACTGCCTACATTGACCATATTCCTATTCATTCACTTTCCTTGTTAGCTAGCTCAACAATACCATAATTTTTTGGGGAGGGGGTCCAGTCATGGGGCCTGAACTCTGGGCCTGGGCACTGTCACTCAGCTCTTCAGCTCAAGGCTAGTGCTCTACCACTTGAGCCACAGCGCCACTTCCAGCTTTTTTCTTATGTAGTGCTGAGAATCGAACCCAGGGCCTCATGCATGCAAGGCAAGTGCTCTACCACTGAGCCACTTTCCCAGCCCTACCATAATTTTTTGAACGTATGTGCTAGTCCTGGCACTTAGGTGCTGTTCCTAAACTTTTTTTTTTTTCTAAAGGCTAACACTCTACCACTTGAGCCACAGTTCCACTTCCAACATTTTGGTCGTTTGGTGAAGATAGGGGTCTTAAGGTCTTTTGTGGCCCAGAATGGCTTTGAATAGTTATCCTCAGAACTCAGCCTTCTGAATAGCTAAGGATTACAGGTGTAAGCCACAAAACATCAAAAAATAAATAAAACAAATTTATACTAATTGCCATTTAAAGTATGTTATTTATTCTTTTTTTATTAATTTAATTTTATTTTATTTGTGAACAAACTGTACAGAGGGGTTACAATTGCATGGGCAGGATAATGCGTACATTTCTTACCAAGCATTG